GTTTTTGCTTTTCCCTCGGATCTAATTACTTATTATATTATATTATATTATATTATATTTTATTTTATTTATTTTATTTATTTTATTTATTTTATTTTATTTTATTTTATTTTATTTTATTTTATTTATTTATTTTATCAGGCCAACCGCGGCTTCGAGAACTTCGAGTTTGCAGAAGTGGTGAATGCAATTTACAACTTTTGGCTTTACGAACTTTGCGACGTTTACTTGGAGGCCATAAAGCCGCGGCTGCAGCCCGCGACAGCAGCAGCAGCAGCAGCAGCAGCAGCAGCAGCAGCAGCAGCAGCAGCGCGGGACTGCCGCTGCGCGCAGGAAGTGCTGTTCATTTGCGTGGACTGGGGGCTGCGGCTGCTGCATCCTATTTGTCCTTTTTTGACGGAAGAACTTTTCCAAAGAATTCCTTTTTATTCCGGAAAAGCAGAATCGATTTGCGTCAGCAGCTACCCGCAGCAAGTCCTCGCCTGGACAGACCCCGCCCTCGACGTCCGCCAAACCCTAAACCCTAAACCCTAAACCCTAAACCCTAAACCCTGATTTGGGGAGTTGCGCGGGGTTTCGGGCGGGTTCTCGAGTAATATCACGGGAATAATGTGCGGGTCGTGCACAGTGTGAAGTGGTCAGGAACATGCAACAGTGCTGCTGCTGCTGCTGCTGCTGCTGCTGCTGCTGCTGCTGCGCAGGCCAACATGCAGCAGCTGCAGCAAATCGTGGGGCACTTCCGCTCGCTGTTGGCGGCGCTGGAGATTCCGCCCAAGACGAAGCCACAGGGCTTCGTGCTGCTGCGGTCTGCTGCAGCAGCAGCAGCAGCAGCAGCAGCTCCGTTTTTGCAAGAAACGGCGGCGACCATGGCGATCCTCGCGAAACTGAGCAAAGTGAGAGTTAAATACCTTTTCAGAACTTTTAATTTGTCAAATTAAATATATTTAATCCAAAAAAATCCGCAAAAGTCCGCTTTTTCCTCTGCTTTCCACCAGGTTTCCATCCTCACTGACACTGACACCCCCCCCGCCGGCTGCGTCTCAGACGTCGTTTCCCCCCAAGTCACCATTTACCTCCAAATCGGAGAAGGAGTTAACATTTCGCAAACTCTGGACAAGTTGGAAAAGAAAAAGGCCAACTTGCGCAGCAAGGTCAGTCCCGCTGCAGCAGCAGCAGCAGCAGCAGCAGCAGCAGCTTGCTGCTGTTCGCTGCAGCACGTGGGGCGTTCCTTTGAATTCGTTCTAGTGCAGACTAGTTCTGCTGCTCATTTACTTGCGAGGTTGCGCGGCCTAGCTCCGCTGCAGCGGGAGCAGCAGCAGCAGCAGCAGCAGCAGCAGCAGCAGCAGCAGCAGCGAAAATGCGCAGCAGCAACGGGCCTTGTGCGAACTGCAGCACGAGACACATCTGCATGCGAACCTTCACCACATTCTTACACACCAAACGCAGGTTTAATAAGACAAACAGCAGCAGCCGGCGGGCCAAGCACCCCTTGCTGCTGCTGCTGCTGCTGCTGCTGCTGCTGCTGCTGCTGCTGCTGGAGGTTAATTGTTGTGCATTTGCTTTGCTGCTTCTGTTCCTGCTGCAGCTGGAGGGCTACGAAAAGAAAATAAAAGAACCCAACTTCGTAAAAGCCCCCGAAGCTGTGCAAGAAGCTGCGCTGCAGAAGAAAGCAGATCTGGAAAAAGAGCTGCTGCTGCTGCAGGCAGCAATTAGCGAAGTGGCCCCGCTGCTGCAGACTGCAGCCACCACCAAGTCCAACAGCCCGCAGCAGCAGTAGGCGCAGCAGCAGCAGCAGCAGCAGCAGCAGCAGCAGCAGCGGCAGCAGCGGAGGGGCTGAACGCTGCGGAGTGCTGCAGCTGCAGTAGTGGAGGCTGCAGAAGCCTCAGCGGCGCTGTGACCACTGAGAGGTCCACTGGTCCACTGGCTTGGAGCAGCAGCAGGCTGCTGCTGCTGCTGCTGCTGCTGCTGCTGCTGCTGCTGCTCGTAGTTGCTTTAGTTGAGCTGCAGCAACTCTCTGTGAAAGCTCTGCAGCTCATTAGAGAAGCTGCGGGGCCCTTTCCTATTTGCTGCTAGAAAGATAATTCCAAAGGAAGCAAACAGCCAAGTTTGCTGCTGCCGGTGTCTGCAGCAGCTGCGGTTTAGTTGCTGCTGCGAGTTGCTGCTGCTGCGCCGGCAGCCGCCCCAGCAGCTCGCCTCTTGGCTGCGCTGCTGCAGCGGCGCTGCAGCAGCAGCTGCAGCAGCGCGCAGCAGCAGCAGCTGCAGCGGGGCCCAGAAGGGAGCCGGCAGCTCCTTTGGGTGGGGGAAGTTAGTGGCTTTCGAGGTGTATGTACACCAGGTGTATTGTTTGTCCTTTAGCAGACACTTGAATGCATGCAAATGACATTTCCGAAGACTTTTGCTGCGTTTCTGCTGCTGCTGCAGCAGCAGCAGCAGCAGCAGTGCTCATCCCCATGTGACCTCGCAGTGTCTGCGGCTTGGCTGCGTCTGTTTGGCCCCAATTTCCCCTCATTTGTTGCAAATTGGAAACTCTTTTGTTATTTGTTTTCGAATTCTCCCGAAGTCCGCAACAAAAGGCAAAAGGCAGCAGCAGCAGCAGCGCGGAAGCCCCAAGCGACGCTGGGCAGCAGCGCGGAGCCGCTGCTGCAGCAGCAAGCTGCGAGCGAAGCCGCATGCAACTCCGCGCGGACAAAACAAAAGAAACTGAACATTAATTAATTATTTCTTTGCAAATTGCTGCTTCCAAGCTGCTGCGGAGCTGCTGCTTCCGAGGAGCTGCTGCTGCGCGCTGCTGCCGGCTGCGGTCGACTCGATGGCGGCGCTGAGGTGTACGTACACCTCAGCGCCGCGCCTCCAGCTCCGCGTGCAGCTTTTCAGAAAGTCTGCAGCTCATTATTGAATTTGCTGCTGCGGGAGGATGTGCTGCAGCCTTCTTTGCGCATTTTGCTGCAACGGAGAGGCTCAGCAGCAGCAACTTTGGCCAGTTCCTCTTTTCCTTTCCGTCTTTTCCCCCCTTTGCTTCCGCCCCTAGGGGCCTCGCAGCAGCAGCAGCAGCAGCAGCAGCAGCAGCAGCAGCAAGCCATGGACTGCGACTGCGACGTGCCCAGCAGCTCGCTGCTGCTGCGGCAGACCCGCCTGTCTGCTGCTGCTGCTCTCGACTTCAGCTGCAGCAGCAGCAGCAGCAGCAGCGCGGCTCCGGAGGCCGCTTCTGCGCTGCCTCAGGTGTACAGACACTCCGTTGCTGCTTCGGCTCTCCGCCAGAAACGCCGAAGAACAGCAAAGTCCCCTGAGCCAGCAGCAGCAGCAGCAACAGCAGCAGCAGCAGCAGCAGCAGCAGCAGCAGCAGGGAGTCCTTCAGTGGCTCTTTGGGTCAAGAGGTGCTGCTTGTACATCCGCAGCAGCAGCCTCGCTCCCCCTCGAGATACAGAAAGCCCCAAACTCGCCGCTGCATGCAATGCATGCAATGCATGCAATGCATGCAATGCATGCAATGCATGCAATGCATGCAATGCATGCACTGCATGCAATGCATGCAATGCATGCACTGCATGCAATGCATGCAGTGCATGCATTGCATGCGCAGCCGGGGCCCCGAGGGAGGCGTCTGGCAGCGGCCACGCAGCAGCAGCAGCAGCAGCAGCAGCAGCAACGGCAGCAGCAGCAGCAGCAGGTCTTCAGCGCGGCGCTGGGGGCAGCAGCGCAGGGGCCCCAGTTTATTTTTCGGCTGCAGAGGCGCCGCAAGCAGCAGCAGCAGCAGCAGCAGCAGCAGCAGCAGCAGCAGCAGCAGACTCTTGCTGCTCCCCCTATGCAGCAGCAAATGAGTACCTTTTGCTTTGCCACAATGAGCGCCTGCACAGACAAAGGCTGCGGGCGCCAGCAGCTGCTGCTGCTGCTGCTGCTGCTGCTGCAGCTGGGGAGGGGCGTTTGGGCCCGCGAGAGCCCGCGGGCGCAGCAGCAGCAGCAGCAGCAGCAGCAGGTGTACGTACACCCGAACTGCTGGGGCCGCCCGGAGGAGGAAAAGACAGCGGAGGGGCTGTGGGGTGTATAGACACCTCAGCTGGGGCGTGTGGGGTTTTGGGGGCGGCAGGGTGTCTAGACACCGCAGCGCCTGCTGCTGCAGCAGCTGCTGCAGCAGCTGCTGCTGCAGCAGCAGCAGCTGCTGCTGCTGCAGCAGACTACAGCAGCGCAAATGCATTTATTAAAAAGCTGCAGTTCTCCTGAGGACTTTTCTTTCCAGTGTATGTACAGCGCAGCGCCGCGGCCCCTGTCTTTACTTTTTGCTTCTGCATGCGGTGCATGCACGCTGCTGCTGCAGTAGGGACTCTCCAGCTGCTGCTGCTGCTGCAGCAGGGACTCTCCAGCTGCTGCTGCTGCTGCAGCAGAGATTCTCCAGCTGCTGCTGCTGCGGCGGCAGAGGCTCTCCAGCTGCTGCTGCTGCTGCTGCTGAGACTCTTCGGCAGCAGAGATTCTACAGATGCTGCTGCGGCGGGGGAGACTCCCCAGCTGCTGCTGCTGCTGCAGAGACTCCCCAGCTGCTGCTGCTGCTGCAGAGACTCCCCAGCTGCTGCTGCTGCTGCGGAGACTCCCCAGCTGCTGCTGCAGCCTTCTGCAGGGACGCATTATCTGTAAATTGAACTTGAAGCGTAGAGGGAGACAAAAGCAGCAGCAGCAGCAGCAGCAGCAGCAGCAGCAGGGCAGATCTGCTTGCGAACTGAGGTTTGCTGCTGCAGCAGCAGCAGCATTTTGCTTCTTAGGCTGCAGCAGGGGAAGCAGGTGTTAATGTAGAGACTGTAAATGAGTGCAGCAGTTATTCGGGTGTATGTACACCCTCCAGTTCGCAGCTAATAACAAAGAACTGGAGTGTCGAGACACCGCAGCGTTTGCGCCTGTGCAGCAGAGCCGCAGCAGCAGCAGCAGCAGCAGCAGCAGCTGCTGCTGCTGCTGCTGCTGCTGAGGCTTCTTTGCTGCTGCAGGCCCTAAACAGCTGGCTCAGACCCAGAGAAAGAAGCAGCAAAGGCGGGCCCGCCTTTGGGGCTTTTGTTGCATGCATTTCTTTTGCTGCTGCATGCAAAAAGATGGAGGAATTAGCTGCTGCTTCTTCTCTCATCTTTTGCATGCAGCATTGAAAGGAATGCATGCATTAACGAGAGGTCCTTTTATTTGTTCTTGGAAGTCAGATTCATTTCTTTTTAGTTTGCAGATTTGAAATTAACATTAATGAGCTGCTGCTGCTGCTGCTGCAGCGGGCCATTTTGGAAGCAGCAGCAGGAAACTGCAGCAGGAGGGAGCCGCGAGAAGCAGCTCTTTGTTTGTTTCTGAAGTATTCAATCAGCAGCAACAATTAAAGTTCAATTTTAATTAAAACTGTCTGCGAGTTAATTGAATTTGTTTCGGAATTCAACTAATTCCCGGAAAGCCGGTGGCTTTGGCTGTGCGGAGGCGCAGCGGCGGGCGGAGTTTCTGGCTTTGTTTCGAAAGGAAAAGTTCAATTTGCAAGAAAAGTGATTTGCAATTATTTGCAATTATTGAAAAGTATTTCAAAGAAGTCCATTTAAGAGGCTTTCGGGGAAAAGGAGGGCTTCTCGGCTCAGCCTGGAAGTTCGTTCAAGTTCAAGTTTTGCATTGCTTTCTGAAGTTTCAAAATTCGGAAACCCACGAGAAAAGAAGAAAAACTGGAAAGCTGGACTTCGCGAAACTCCGGGGCTGCTGCTGCGGGTCTTTTCCGAGAAAGAATTCAATAATATCGAGAAAGAATTCAATTAATTGAACTTAAATCGCACTAAGACGAAACGAAACTGCAGAATAACAAAAGTGACTGAAGGCGAAAGCCGAAGGCGGGCGAAATCGCCGGGGTGTAGGTACACCTCAAGTTGGCGGCTGCTGCTCTGCCGCGCTCGGCCGGCGGAAACTTCGGCAGTTCGCGGCCGGAATTGGACTTAAATGCTTTAAATTTGGAGATTTAAATGTTGGAATTGCAAATCCTTTATGGAATTGGGAGAATTCGTGCAGCTTTCGCTGCCCCACAGCGGCGGGTGGGCCGAAACCGCCGCCCGTGGTTGGCGCTGTCTGTTGCCCGTTGCCACGATCCTGCGCAGATGTTCTTCATTCCGCGACTCAAAGCGCTTTAAATACCTTTTTTGTCTTTGTTTTTTGGATTTACTTCATCTTGGCTTGACACTTTCCCCCTTTGGCGCTCGGATTCCCGCCGCCGTCTGCGGGTTCCAGAGCACGAACCAGCAGCAGCAGCGCCCCCCCGCAGCAGCAGCAGCAGCAGCAGGCCTCGAAGGGCCAATACATTTATGAACAAGCCCCCGTTTTGGCCCTTTTCTTTCTCTTCTGCTGCCCCCCTCGTCTTCTGTCTTGACAGCGGCAGCCGCAGCGCCGCGCAGCTCCCATGGCGGCGCAGCCGCAGTCGTCAGGGGCCCCCAAGGGGGCCCCCCAGTTGTCTGAGCCCCCTCAGCTTTCTTCCGCAGCAGACATGACGGGGCCCCCGTCCCCCCTTTCTCCCCCCTCCCCAGCAGCAGCAGCAGCAGCAGCAGCAGCAGCGGCTCCAGGAGAGGGGCAGGTGTGCGTCTGCGTGGAGAGTCCCCGGAGCCGCGTCGGAGGCCGCCGGCGCAGCAGCAGCCGCAGCAGCAGCAGCAGCAGCAGCAGCAGCAGCAGGAGCCTGGAGCAGCTGAAAGCAGCAGCGCCGCTGGCTTCCGCGCAGCCCACGCCGTGGGGCCTCAACCGCTATTTGCTGCTGCTGCTGCACCTGCTGTACGTGTCAGTGAGCGCCCGCGTGCTGTTTGGGTGGCCGCACTTGTCGAACATGCTGCTGCGGGACGGGGCGTACCTGTGGCTGTGCGACCCGCAGCAGCAGCAGCAGCAGCAGCAGCAGCAGCAGCAGCAGCAGCAGCGGCGGTACGCGTGCGCGGCGCAGGACGAACAAGTGCAGTTTCTCTTCACGCTGGGAATGGCTGTCTCCTTTTGCTGCTCGCTGCCCGCGGGGGCCCTCCTGGACTGGGGGGGCCCCCGTGCTGCTGCAGCAGCGGGGCAGCTGTGTGGGGCCGCGGGCTGGCTGCTGCTGGGCCTCTCGAAGCAGCAGCAGCAGCTCTACGTGCCTGCTGTGCTGCTGCTGGCAGCAGGAGCTGACGCAGGCTATCTCCCGGCCTTAACTGTGGCTAAGCTTTTCCCGCAGCAGCAGCAGCTTGTCTTGGTTTTGGTTTGTGCAGCAATGAGTGCCAGCTTCAGCGTGACGGCCATCATGGACGCGGCCTGGCGGGCCTCTGCTGCTGCTGCCCCGCAGGCCTTATTTGTCGCAGGAAGAACTCAGCAGCAAATTCGCAGCAGCAAACGACCCCGCAGAAAGATCCACTCTCAAGTGCGACCCCGACGAGCCCGAGCTGCTGCTGCCCCGCCCCGCTGCAGCAGCAGCAGCAGCACCAGCAGCAGCAGCAGCAGCAGCACCCGCAGCAGCAGCAGCGGCGGCGGACGAGGCCGCGGGGGTGCCGAGCGAAGCCGCGCTCGCCGCGCCCCCAGAAGCAGCAGCAGCAGCAGCAGCAGCAGCGCCCGCAGCAGCAGCAGCAGCAGCAGCAGCGCCCGCAGCAGCAGCAGCAGCAGGAGGCAAGGAGACGTCGTTTGTGCGGCAGGCGTTGTCTGCGCACTTTGTGCTGCTGCTGCTGTACTGGGCTTTGGACTCAGTGCATTTTAGTTTTTTTTTGACTTCTGGGGAAAATCTTTTTGACAAAAAGACAAACGACTTAATAGGCCTTTTGGGCCCCGTGTCTTTGCTGCCAGCAGTGCTGCTGGGGCTGCTGGGGGCCTGGTGTGGGGCGGGGAGTTTGCTGCTGCTGCTGTTCGAGGCGAGCAGCGGGCTGCTGCTGCACTGCAGCACGCTGCTGCTGCCGCCTGCTGCAGCAAGGCTGCTGGCCCCCCTCTGCTGCTGCTGCCACCTCTCCAACTTCAGCGGCCAAGTCTACTGCTTTGCTGCTGACACTTTTGCTGCTGCAGCATTTGGCAGACTTGTGGGGCTCGCCAGCGCGGGGGGGGGCCTCGCCAGTTTGCTGCGGGGGCCCCTCAACGGGGCCCTCACCTTCGGGGCCTTTGCTGGGGACTTCCGCAAGACTGAGGCTGTCATGCTGCTGCTGTCTCTTTGCTGCTTCTTCCTGGCCCTTGTTCTTGCTGCTCTCAAGCGCAGGCGGCCCAAGGCCTACTGCAGCAGCAGCAGCAGCAGCAGCAGCAGCAGC